TCAGCTGCTCCCTCTCTCCATGTCCCTATCTCTGCCTCCATCTCTGGTGTCGCTGCTTCTCTGGATAAGGTCTCACATTCCACTTGTGCTCTTCTCCCCTGATTGCCCTAGGGTCCTCTGTTTCTGGACTGTAAGGTTAACTATTGCCCATTTTTGTTACAAAACTTCTACCTTTACAATTGTGATAGTCGCAATTAGTCATGATAACACATACTCATACTGAATCATAAGAATCTTATCCCCATCTCTTTTTACCAGATCCATCTAGACAAGATAAAAACTATTCAGTGGGGACTCTATCTTCCCCCCCACACTCTTAAACTAAACTCCCTCTTGAAGCCTCATAAGCCAGTCACTTAGTGCCTTTACCACCCCCCCACCCCCCTTTTAGGTAGCCAGTGTCTAAGCTGCCCGTCCCTATCTACCCTGTGTACAGAGGGGATAGCATTGATCCTGGATGCAAAGACTCCGTCCCTCTCTGTTGGTATTAGGAACTACTACCTCCATGAGTAGAGGTCAAGCTCATGAAATTGTAGCAATTTACCCTCTTTTCTGTTATCAAAAATTTTTATCTTCCTCTAGTCGAGTTCTGATTATTGAGCCATTGAGGTTAGGTCCAATGGGTACTATCTGCAAGTTTGGGTGCTCTTGTGCATCTCCCCTCACTTCGTATCAGCTGGATGCTTCACTCTCAGCTCTAGCCCTCTGTGGCGAAGTCCTTGTCCATGGGCTCAGGTGTCCCAAGGTCTCACCACATTTTGGACCATCCAGCCCTTCCTCTTCTTTCTCTTATCTCCAGGTCAACGGGAGTCTATGGAACGTGGTTAAACTCAGCCCTTTTCTTCATTGCTGCCTTTCCCCTCTTTACTCACCAGTAGACCAATGTGGTTGCCAGCAAGCTTACATGCCTGCTTCTGTGTTCCCTTTAAGTTTCAGTCTTAGAGGGGGGTTTGTCCTGAAGGAACTTGATTGTTTGCCTTTATGGCTTCTCAGTGAATAACTTGCTTATTCTTATAGTAGCCAATCATACTGCCATTTTTATTCTGGGTTTTTCCTACTGATCTTTGTTTGAAGATACATCTTCTGTCACTCTAGCTGTTCCAGGTTGGTCGGCTTGTCATTTCTAGTGGGAAAGTCCCACCTCAGAAGGTTCAGGATTGGGCTCAGGAGTTCACCTAAGGTCCTATACACTATAAAGGCGCCTCAAGAAGCTTATTTCAATGGGCAAGTTCTAGAACCCCTTTTAGGTATTTCAATCAGTTATAGGCTGAATACAGGCTTACAAGCTTTCTGTAATCATGTTTCCTGACATTCCCTTCTATCCTACTCAAGCGTCTATTTTACAATAGTAGACAAGAGAAACCAATATTCATAAGACAGTCAAGTATCTCAGTATTATTTCCCCTCTTCAGACTAGTCCTTCAATATTCTGGTGCTATCTGGCAGTGATCTACTACTATTTATAAGGTTTTCATTGGCTAACCCATGTCTCCTTTCTAGTCTATCTTTACCTGGAAGCTCAGCTGAAGCCTGTCCACCATGAGTGACCCTCCTGGTATTTAAAATACTGCTTCCAGCATCACAGCAACATGCAGGCTACCATGCAGGTCCAACAAACTGACAGCCAAGTGGTGGCAGATACTGAGAGGGTAACGGGGTTTAGCTGTGGGTGTTCACAGAGCTCACTGTAATTGTAGTTGTGAAAACTTTAAACTCTAGCATGCGTATAAAATGAACGTTTCAGAAGCAGGAGGGCGGCTCTCTCTATACTCTTAAGAAGCAGAACCAGGATTGGAGTGTGTCCTTTGGACCCACAGATGCCTGTGCACTGAATCTCCTCGACCCAGCGACAGAAAACTGACACCAAGGAGTGGCAGAGGAACAGCGGCACATGACGCAGCAGTGAGCTTCCCAGTCCATGGAGCAAGTAACGCTGAGGGACTGTGGGCAGGAGACTTGCTTGCTAAGTGGGGTCCCTCCAGACAACTCAGATAGGGGAACTAAGTGGGGTCCCTCCAGACACTCAGTTGGGGGAGCTAAGTGAGGTCCCTCCAGACACTGAGATGGGGGAGCTAAGTGGGGCCCCTCCAGACACTCAGTTGGGGGAGCTAAGTGGGGTCCCTCCAGACACTCAGTTGGGGGAGCTAAGTGGGGTCCCTCCAGACACTCAGTTGGGGGAGCTAAGTGGGGTCCCTCCGGACACTCAGTTGGGGGAGCTAAGTGGGGTCCCTCCAGACAGTCAGTTGGAGGAGCTATGTGGGGTCCCTCCAGACACTCAGTTGGAGCTAAGTTTGTTGAGTCAGGGAGCTGGCATGAAGTGCCTTCAGGCAGGCGGAGGCTTAAGGTGGAAGAGTGTGTCCTACGGCCATTGATCAGCAGCCCTGAAAGAGCTCGGTTAACAGGACCCAGGCAGAGAGAGGCCTTCATGTGAGCACGGCTGAGGAGAGGCTGTTCTGACTGAAAGCACTGTACCGCCCTGAGCAGCTCTGAGCCTGCATTCTAACTAGTTAACTTCCCTAATAAACCCCATCACTGTGGATGCTGTGTCTCAGCTCTGTGTGACCAGAGCAATGAAGGATGGAACCCAGGGGAGGCGTGAGCGCCGTGAGAGAACAGTTCAGGTGGCATTGTTCGTTTTTGGTTTTCGCTGTACCAGGACCTGCCAGAAGAACAAACAAGTCTGTCTTAGAAGAAATGCAGATAGGACTTCCTTTAGAAGTGAGGACAGTGATGCTTCTCTCTTGTCCTCTGGACATGCTATCAGGAGGGACGAGTTCCTGGAAAAGGACACCATGCTTGGTAAAGTGGAGAGTCAGTGAAAAAGAGGCACAGCCCTCAATGAGCTGGACTGATCCAGTGGTGGTAACAGCTTGAGGACTGTGCAATACTGAGCAGTAGCTCATTCTAGTGTGCAGGGTCACATGGTACAGTGAATGATCTAATCTGGGGTGGCGCTGTGGGGTAATGCACTGGACTGCAAGGTCGGTTTGAACAGCAAGGTAGGTTCAAGCTCACTTGCTCCTTGGAAACTATGGGTCACTATGAGTCAGAACTGACTTGATGGCACTTAGTAACACTACTAGTCATAGACTTCTTGTGTGGTGCTATAGGGTCAGCACTAGACTGTAAACCATAAGGTTAGCAGTTCAAACCCACCAGTTGCTCCTTGGAACCCTATCTATACAGGGTCACTATGAATTGGAACTAACTCAATGGCACTTAACAACACTAATTCTAGTGAGTCTGTAATGCCCACCAAGGTACATACAATGCTGCAGTGTGTAATTTGAGGATGTCATCATTCTCATGCCAACTCCCGAAGACAAATAAAGATCAAAAGATATTGATAATAAAAGGCAGTAAAAATGAAAAAAAAAAAACTTTAAACACAGGTTTTCAACTTATATTAGAACCAAATTACAGTGGGATCGTTGGTAGGGAACCCTGAAGTGAGTTGGGAACTACTTGTAAAGGGAAAAAATGGCAAAGTACAAGTACAAATAACAGGATGGAACTAGTATTAGACATCTAGTCATCAACAATGATAGTTAACAATGGAGAAACAAGGTTCTTTAAGAAAATTACTTTAAAACTTAGAATTTTATACTTGATCAAATGATCACTCAAGAATGAGGGGAGAACACAGACATTTACAAGACATTTACAGACAGACTTTAGGGAGTTCGTTCAGGATGAAATCAAGAAAAAAAATAAAGACTAAAGAGTTACACAAGAAAAGGATCCAAACCTGGCAAGAAGTAAAGGTAAGCCCCGAGATGACTTTAATATCAATCCACTACAGTAACCTAGCTCACAGAAACTGGGTGTTGTTGCTGGTGAGTTGGTTCTGAGGAGTGACTGATGGGTTTGAACCACTGACCTTGTTAGCAATCCAGTGCTTATCCTACAGCACCACACCAGGACTTCAGAAAATGGAACAGAGAGAAATTATTGGAGGGAGAACTCCCAGAAAGACCCATGCCAGCATGGGGAGAAAACAATGCAAGCCAAGAAAGATAACCAGCAATTCCAGTAAAAACAAATATGAAGCCACCAGACCAAATTAAAACAGGAAGGCAACGAGATTCAAAATGAAGACTCTCTCTACGGAACAGACACAGATAAGGATCTTAAAGATAATACGGAGATAAAAGAAGGAATATATTACTTCTACCTACAAGAAACATGAAAGGCAATCAGAAAAGTACTTTGATTTTCTAACCATGTACACATATTTTGGGTTAAAAATTATGTATTATGCCATGATTACACAAAAGATCAAAGAAAACAGATTCTTGAACAATTATGGATTCAATACAAGGAAGAATTTTGCAACACTCAGAAATTCAAATAAATGAACACTAGAAAAATCCAAAAGGCGATTAAATGGCCACGAATTAAATGGGATTATTGGGTGGAAGCATGAACCAAATTCAATCACTCATTCAAAATACAACCTAAGATTTTCCATCTCTTCACTGCTAAATAGGAAATATAACATCTAGAGCCAACAGACTTTTTAGGTGTGAAAGCTCCCACTCAAGATAGAGTTAGTACTAGTTACAGACTTAAGGCAGGAAAAGGAGAAAACAAAACAAAAGAAATGAAACAGAAAGCATGACAGGTTATTAATTTGTAAAACAAAAGTAATTACTTAACTTTATATAAAATGGCAAGACACTTGCCCTACCTATGTAATTTACAGAATGACATGAACAGTAAGAAAAATATCTTATTAGAATTTTAGAATTATCCACATTAATCTTAACATGTATTATCTGGTTTGTAAGTACAAGTCAACATTCCCGATTATTTTATTTCCCTAATAACATTAATTTTAAGCCAATAAAGGTAAAAATCATGAAAAGAAAACACTATGTCTAGTTACACTTAAAATAATCTCTTACCAATCGTAACCTACAGCAAAAGATGTTTCAATTACAGGAGCGATGAGTTTTGCAGCGGTCATGATGTATTTTTCAGCCATTGCTTTCCTGTATCAAACAAACAGACAAGTTACTGTTAGACGCATGGTAAGAAACTAGTTTGAATGTATTTCTTAAAATTTAAACATAACCGTGAACAGAGCTAACATACTGCACAAGCCTACTAAAGGATGGATAGCTAAGCTAGAAATCAGGCAGTTGTTGTTGCTCAGTGTTGTCGAGTCTGTTCCGATTCTTAGCAACCCCGCATAGAGTTTCCAGGGAGCAATTGGTGAGTTTGAACTACCAACTTTGTGGTTCAAAGCGACCTTGTGGTCTGGTGCTTATCCTACAGCGCCATACCAGGAGTCCAACAGCAAACAGATATGCCTAATCTGAAGTTTCCATAGAAATGGAATCACAAACTATGTGGGCCTTTATAGTTGGCCTCTCACTTGGCATGATGTTTTCAAGGTTCAACCATGTTGGTGAAGATATTCTGTTGGAGTCCTGGTCTGGTGCTGCAGGATGATGCACTGGACCACAAGGCTGGTTTGAACTGCAAAATGAGTGGTTCAGATCCACCAGCCATTCCTGAGAAACCCTACACAATGTCACTAGGAGTCAAAACAAACTTGACTACACTGAACAACAACAACAATATTCTGTTGTATGTATACATCCAATTTGACTTTTCCAATCATCATTAGGGTCCAGTGCTGATTCTACAGCGCCACACCAGAACACCATTAGGTGTACTGGCTATTATGACTCATGCTGTTACGAACATGTGTGTATGAGTTTTTATGTGGATCTGCTTTCACTTCTTCTATGGTAAACACTGTATTTAACCTCTTGAAGAACTTAAGGTGACTTTTTCTAAAGTGACTGCCACTTCACATACCCACAAGTTTCTTCACATTGTCACTAACGCTTGTTATCTATCGCATCTGCTCTACAGGTGTAAAGAGGCAACTCATTAGGCTCATGAATCCATTTCCCTACCGACGAACGGTGCTGAGTATTTTCTTCATGTGTTTATGGACCATGTGTACATCTTCCCTGGAAAAATGTCTTTTCAAGTGCTTTGCCCAGCGTTTCAATTGAATTGTCTTTTTGTTGTTCAGTTGTAGGCGTTCTTTATATTCTAATACTTGCCCATTTTTAGGTACGTGATTATCAAATATTTTGCACCATTTTGTACATTTCCCCCCCACGTTCTTGATGACATTCTTTGAAGCATAACGCTTCTTAATTTTTATAAAACTCAATTTATGGTCTTTCAATACTTGTGCTTTTGGTGTCATAGTTAGGCTTTGCCTAATTCACGCTCACCAAGGTTTACTCTATTTTCTCCTAGTGTAGCATAGTGGTTACGAATCAGGCTGCTAATCTCATGGTCAGCAGTTCGAAACTACCAGCTGTTCCATGGGAGAAAGATGAGGCTTTCTGCTCTCATAAAGATTTATAGCTTCAGAAACCCCATGCAGGGTCGCTATGAGTCGGAACCGACACCACGGCACATAACAACAACAACTTACGCTTAGGTCTGTGATCCGTTTTGAGTTAATCTTTGCATACAGCATAAGGGAAAGATCTAATTTTAGCTTTTTGCATATGACTGAAACTCAGCTGACCTAGCACCACTTGGTGATCTACTTCTAAAAACTCAGTCATTGAAAGTACTATGGAGCCCAGTTCTAGTCTGAGACCCACGGAGTTGTCATGAATCAGAACCAACTTGAAGGCAACTGGTTTTTGGTTTGCTTCCATTTTGATTGATTAAAATTCAGATGAATTTTAAGACCAACTTGTCAACTTCTGCAAAAAATACTAGGATTTTGATAGGGTTGTGTTATAGTTATAGATTAATATGGACAGTATTGTCACCTCAACAATATGATGTCTTTGAATCCATAAACCGGAGATGGCTTTCCATTTATTTATATTCCCTCTTTTACTGTTACTGCATTTTGTCAAAATTATTTATTTTTGCTTCTTTTACTGAGATGATTGTGTTTCTCTTTATTTTACTAATATGCTGCACTATAAGGAATTTGGTATGTTGAACTAATCTTGCATTCCTAGAGTAGATCAAGGAAATGACTCAAGTAGCTGTGGAGGCTGGCAGGTCCCAAATCTGCAGGTCAGGTGTCAGGCTGGATGCTTCTCCTGACCTGGGTGGTTGCATGGACTGACAAACCAAAAATCAGCAAGTCAGGCAGCAAGCTACTAGTTCACTGGGCTGCGGGAGCAGGTGAATTCCAAAATTAACATATGAGGTAGCAGGCTGCTGACTCACATCTCACGAACTGGAGGTCAGGTGATGAGGAGTCAGAGGCAGGATCAACAGAGATAGAACTTTGCCAGAACATCTGCCAAGGAAGCTCTTCTTTTATCAGATCACAAAATATAGGCTGATTACAGAATGCTGCAAATCAAGGCCTAGCTAAGTTGACACATAACGTTAACCACCACAGCTGGTCCTGTACCCGTGTTACAACCATAGCTGTGTTGGAGCCACAGTTGTGCTCACTCTGTCAATCCATCTCATTGAAGGTCTTCCTCTTCTCACTGACTAAACGTGATGTCCTTCTCCAGGGACTGGTCCCTTCTGATAACAGGTCCAAAGTCCTTGAAAAGAATTCCTGCCAACCTCACCTCTAAGGAGTATTCTGGCTGGACTTCTTCTACAATGGATTTGTTCTTCTGGCACTCCACGGCATAGTCAGTGTTCTCTGTCCACAACTTAATTTAAACGTGCAAATTCCTCTTTGGTCTCCTTGTTCATCGCCCAGCTTTTGCAAGCATATGAAGCAATTTAAAATACCAGGTGCACCTTAGTCATCAAAGTGCTATCTTGGCTTTATTACACTTTATAAAGAGGTCTTCTGCAGTAGATCTGCCTAAGGTAATACATCAGTTGACTTAATGCTTGAGATTTGACTGCTGTTTCTATGGGCACTGAGTAGCAATCCAAATAAAATGAAATCCTTGGCAACTTCAATATTATCTCCAACATATATTTAAAACAATTTTTTAAAATCGAAATGATCAAACATGTTTTAGTAACCTCAAGAAGAAAGTGAAAGCCTACTCTATTTACATATATCAACAGTCATTTACTATATTTACATACATAAACAGTCATTGGAGATCAAGTTCTGACTCCCTAGGTAGTCTTCTATGATACCACTCCAGCAGGTGACGTTGAGGCTGCAAGTCCAGGCTCCCCACTTGCCTCAGCTGACACGTTCTACTATTTTAGTTGCCACTGAGTTGGCTCAGAGAAGAACTGAGCACTACAGGGTTTTCAAGATTGCGACCTTTCAGAAGCAAATCACCAAGTCTGTCTTCTGAGGCACTTCTGGGTGGGTTTGAACCACCAACCTTTCAGCTAGTATTTAAGCACTTAGCTGCTTGTGTTACTGGAGTAGAGCAGTTATTGTCTAAAAGTGTTTTGCATGGTTAAGCTTACTTGCTTCCTGGCCTTTTGGTTAAGGAAAGGAGGCTTTTCTTGGAATTTTATTTTTAATTTTGTCTGCACCCAATAGCATTTCCTGGTTGTCATCTTCCTCAGCTCCAAATCTGGGGTATATGAGAGAGTTCACCATATGGATTTGGATTCCACATTCCTTAGCCAGTCTACCTTCTTCTTTCTACCCTTCTTTTTATGTTTGGTTTAAACATAATGTCCAAAGTTTTAGCTGTACTTATAGATGAGTCCTGGTGTGGCACTGTAGGATAAGTGCAGGACTGTAAGGTCAGCTGTTCAAACTCACCAGCTGTTCCTCGGAAAACCCCTACTGGATTGCTGTGAGTCAGAACTAACTTGACGGCACTTAACAACAACAACACAAAGAGGAAACACAAGTTTAAGTCTTTATTTATTTAATTAATTAATTTATTTTCAAGGTTTGTATTGTGGATTGAGTGAAAGTTTACAGGGAAGATCATCAGTTTTACATTCACCAAATCATACACCTTGTTTCATTACAATGATTATAATCCCCTCCATGTATCATCAGTTAACAGTATTTCTCTCTATCCACTTTAGCTATTAAAAAACCAAAACAAACCTCAGACATATATAATAATTTACATCTCCAAATGTCAGATTCTGCAAGTCTTCCTCCTGACCACCAGCTTTTAGTCCCTCTCTTCCTATAAATCTAGAGTCCTCAGCCGGAGGCTCCCCCTCTCCATGCCCCCATCGCTGCCTTCGTCTCTGGCTTCCCTACTACTCTGGATAAGGTCCTGCATTCTGCTTGTGTGCTTCTCCCTTGATGGTCCTAGGGTCCTCTGTTTCTGGACTGTAAGATTAACCACTCCCTTGTT